GGGGCGGCGGGGATGGGGCGGGGGGATCGGGATTGCGGGGATGGGGCTGGGGGATCGGGATTGCGGGGTCGGGATTGCGGGGATGGGGCTGGGGGACCGGAGCTGTTTTCCCTGCGGGATGGGGATTGTGGGGATGGGGCTCTCCTCTCTGCGGGGATGCGGGGACCGGGAGCGCAGGACCGGAGCCGTTTTCCCTGCGGGATCCGGATGGCGGGATCGGGATTGCGGGGATGGGGCTGTGGAACCGGAGCCGCTTGCCCTGCGGGATCGGGAACGCGGAACCGGGGCTGTTCTCCAGGCGGGGATGCGGGGATCGGGAACGTGGGGCCGGTGTCCCTGTCCCTCCCGGGATCGGGGTTTCGGGATCGGGAATGCGGAACCGGGGCTGTTCTCCAGGCGGGGATGCGGGGACCGGGAACGTGGGACCGGTGTCCCTGTCCCTGCGGGGATCGGGGTTTCGGGATCGGGAATGCGGAACCGGGGCCGTTGTTCCTGCGGGGATCGGGAGTGCGGAGATGGAGCTGTTCTCCCCGCGGGGACCGGGGATCGGGGTGCGGGACCGGGGGTGCTGTCCCCGCCGGTACCGGGGATGCTCGGCCGGCGGAGCCCGGCGGGGCGGGAGGGGCGGCCGGGGGGGCTCCGCCCGCGGCAGCGCATGCTCCCTGCCGGCACAACCTGCCCTTTTAAACAGCGGCGGAGGCGCGGGCCGGGCTCAGCCCCGGCTGCCGCACAGGTACGGCCGGGCACGGGCACCGGGAACCGGCACCGGGCACCGGGAACCGGCACCGAGCCCCGGGAACCGGCACCGGGCCGGGGGCGATGCTTGGGCGGGGCTGCGGCTGCCCCGCCGGTCGTGCCGGGATGCGGCTCCTGCCGCCTTCCCCGGGGGGTTCCGGGGACATCGGGGGGGCTTTAGGGGGTCCCAGGCGCAGCCAGCACCGAGCGCTGCCCGCCGGCTCCGGCCGGGACGGAGGCGCTGCCCGGAGGAGGAGGAGGAGGAGGAGGAGGCGCTCCGGGTCTGATGCTCCTACGCTGGAGCTGCCGCGGGGAAACAACAAAAATAAACCAAAAATAAAGCGAAACCCCGCATGTCGGGAAGCGGAGAGGGAGCAGGTGGGGCTGTGGGAGGGGGTCCTGCCCTCCCCGAGCCTCCCCAGGACAGAGCCCGGAGCTCTTCCCAAACTTGCCGTTCTCGCAGGGACACCCGCGGTGACCGCGCTGCTCTGGAGCTTCCCGAACGGGCGGAGAGTTTGGGGAGCGGGATGGACTCCCAGAAATCCTGAAGGATTGCAGGTCAGTGAATCCTTAGGAGGCAAGGAAAGGGAAGTTTTCTTTACCTGGTTGTAGGTTCTGTTTGGGTTTGGTGCCTCAAGAGCCGTCCCTAAATGGGGATAATTCCAGGGATTCCTGGCTTCGGCAGGACTCGAGATTTTGCTGGTAAAACGCTGTAGTTGTTTATGATAAACATAAACTACCAGACTCATTTGTCTTCCCGCCGATGACAGCTTTAGGAGGAAGGGAAGAGCAATAAAATAAACTTATTAATCTTACGCTGGAGATGGCCAGACCCGGCAAGATGCTCCATTTCCATTTTTATGTTTCAAACAAACAAAATTGCAAGGGAAACACATCAGGAACAGCTTTCCTGGTGCTCACCTGGACCTGCTTTTGTCACAGAGAAAGGCTCCAAATCCCATTTTTTGGCATTTCTGTTCTGGATGTGGCTCAGGAGAGCAGCCTTTACGTGTGTAACATGAGAATATCTCCAAACTTATAGAAATAGAACATGAGTAAGAACTTCAAAAGCACCCAAATGACCTGGGCACTGAAGTCATGCAGACACTCCTGAAAAACATGTACCAGCCTCGAAACCTTTTCTGTTATTCGCCCCACCTGCAATTTTCATTTTGTCTTTTTTGTTTTGTTTTGTTTTTAAATATGTGATGCTACCTGGATTTTCTGGCATCACCCAGAGCTGTTTCCTCTCGTGGGGAGTGGTGCTGGAGCCAGCCCTGGGATTCCAGGCTGTGCCTAAAACTCTGGATTTTTGTTGCCACCGAGCACCGTGGAAGCCAAGAGCGCTTGGATTATGGGACTTGGGATTGGGGGAGAGAAAAAAAAAAAAGATTAGAAATTTGATATGGATAACAAGAATCTCCAGAATTAACAGCAAATTAAATGAGAGCTTTACAGGGGATTTAAATCCCTGTATCTCGGGGTATAAACCGATCTTGGGATTTAGGGGAGTTCCCCTTGCTGTGGCTGCTTTGGGGATGTTCCCCTACAAACGGGGACTTGTGTGGGTGCTGTGTCCTCTCCACGAGGTCCCAGTGGAGGCTCCAGGTGTCCCCCAGCATCAGGAGGCTGCTGGAATGTGCAGAACCAGCGCCGTGAGTTTCACCGCTCATAATCCCCGGAGTAAAGCTGTTGTAGGCACCTCCACACTCTCCAGACAAACCCCACCAGCGTTTTGAGGGAGCTAAAACCAGTTTTAACCGGCAGATTTTTGTCCATGCCCGTGCTGCATCCACAGTGGGAGAGGCTGGAATCACTGGGCTGATGCCTGAGTTTAAAAATACAACCCTGGCTCTACTTCATCTCCTCCAGAGCCCCTCGGAAATGATGTTTAGCATAAACTCTTGGTAACCTTTCCCCCAAACTGTTTATTTCGCTGCAGCACTCAAGTGGCAGTGCTGGGGAGGGGAGGAGGGCTGATTTGGGGTTTTTTTTTCTCCCTGACTTCCATCTCTTTTCTCTCCAGCCAAAGCCTCAGCTCGGAGCTCGGGGTGGTGGCTGGGCTCTGCTGGCTGCTGATGGCGTTGGGAGCGCAGACTCCTCGAAATAATTTAAAATAATCACCTCAGTGCTGCGCTCAGGGTCGCTTTTCCTCCTCTGAT